GGGCTGAATGGCCTCCTGTTCCTGTGTAACAGGCTCGAGGTGGGGGCGAAGCTGTCACATTTGCGTGCTCAGTTTGCCACCTACAGGCAGTCCCAGGCGGTGCGAGTGCTGCGGGGTAGGGGAGGGGAGAGCCGCGCGACGAGTGCCTTACCTTCTCCTTTGGGAGCTGCACCCTGCAGGCCATGTCCCAGGTCAGCGAGAACATCACCGGCATAAAGTTTGTCACAAATGGCTTATGACGGCCTCCTTCCTCTTTGCTCAACACGTAAACCTTGAGGTCGGGGGTGGGGGGAAGAAGCCGAAAGGAGTTACTTGTGTACAGCTCTCCGCGGGTCAGATCCGCGGCCCCTCTCTCCGACGGTTCCCATCGAGGGCCGTGTGCTGATCCGCGGAACCGGACACAGCACTTGAGCGGCTAGAGATGGGTCTCCCTTCCAGATGCTCAGGAACACGTGCCTCCCTTCCCCACCCCCATCCCCGCTCCCGGCCGACCGGGTGACTTACCTGAGCTTCCACCTTACGGTGCGGTTTGATGGAGCCCGGCTTGCACAGTATCATCCCGCGCCTCACATCTTCGCGTTTCAGGCCCCGAACCAGGGCTCCGAGGTTGTCCCCGGCTTCTGCTCGCTCCAGGTTCTGGTGGAACATCTCGATGCCTGCGGGACGCGGGGCAGGGGGAGTTAAAGGCAAAACTGTAATGCTACTCTGTCCCATCTCGGAGGGTCGGCGCCGCGCTGTCGGAGGGTGGGCGCTGAGGGAAGTGGAAATCAGTGTTCTCACCTGTAACGACTGAACGTAGGCTCTTGTTGTGCCCAATAAATTCACAGTCATCACCCTTCTTAATGACCCCTCGCTCCAGTGTGCCAGTCACCACTGTGCCACGACCTGGGTTTGGGGGCGGGCGATGGAGAGAGAAACAGAAGTAGGGATGGGGAAGGCAGAACAGAGACACACAGTCATAAAAACAGAACCACCATATGCCCCACAACCACCAACGATAAAGCAGCCCCTTCCCTGGGGACAAGGGGTGGGGTGGGTGGGAGTGACAGTTACCTGGAATGGAATAAATCTGCTCAATGGGCAGCAGGAACGGATGCTGCAGGTCCCGGTCTGGGAGGGGGATATAGGTGTCCACAGCATCCAGCAGCTTCATGATGGAATCCCGTCCCATCTCCAAGTTCCGATTCTGGGAAAACAGGGAAACAGATGGATCAGTGAAAGCTCCGGGGATGAGCAGGGCTTTAGATTCGGCAGGCGGACTGCGAAATGGATTTATTCCTCTCTTGACCAAAGACAGGTAAAAGGGAGAAGGGGTGGGAAATCGTTCACAGGACACAAGGCGCTGCTGCCCGGGCGCTAATTGACCCTCCCACAGAAGGTGGGGCGGGGGGGGGGGGGGTGAGCCGCCTTCCCACCTCCATATGGTGCAGGGACACA